CTCCTCGGGCGCCTTGGCGCGCCGCACGCTGGCCGCCAGCACCTTGGCCGCCACGCCGGGCCCCGACAGCTCCGGGTGCAGCCGCAGATGGCGCGCCAGACTCTTGGGCTGGCTGAAGCCGCGGCCGCAGCGCGGGCACACGAAGGGCTTGAGGCCGCTGTGCGAACGCCGGTGCTTGGCCAGGCTCTTGCTCTGCGTGAAGCTGCGGCCGCAGTCGGGGCAAGTGTAGGGCTTCTCACCGGTGTGGATGCGCTGGTGCTGCATGAGGTTGGAGCTCCAACTGAAGCGCTTGCCGCACTCGGAGCAAGCGTAGGGCTTCTCGCCGGTGTGGATGCGCCGGTGCTGCACCAGGTGCGAGCTCTGCGAGAAGGTCTTGCCGCAGTCGCTGCAGGCGTTGGGCCGCTCGCCCGTGTGCGTGCGCTGGTGCCGCGTCAGCTTCGACCAGTGGCTGAAACTCTTGCCGCACTCGTTGCAGATGTAGGGTGCGGGGGGCCGGGGCCGGGGCGGGGGCCCGGGCGGGGGCGCGGGCTGGGGTGGAGACAGCTTGGTTGGGGGCCAGCTGGGGACGTCGTCGTCGTCCATGATGAGGATATCCACTGGAAGGCAAGAGGGAGGGGCAAGTCAGAGGTACTGCCTGCAGGGACCACCCACCACGGATGTGCTGGCCACGGATGGATTCCGGCCTAGTGAGTGGTCTCCAAACCAGCTGGGTGGGGGCACTGACCACTCCTGACTTTCAGTATTTCTGTATTCATTACCCTTCTTCCTAACATCTGCCCTCCCTCCTTCAGAGAGGATTCCTTTCTCTGGTCTGTAGACCAATGCGTGAGTCTGCAGTGGCCTTCCCCAAGGTCTACCAACCAAAGCGGTCAGCACAGAACGGGGTTGACCACTAGGAAAAGCTCCTGAGAAATGACACCCAAAACTCAATGGGGGATTCAGGGCCTGAGCAGAGGCCACTACTGGGCATGTGGGCCTTGGCCAGCAGTGCTAGCTGCAACCCAGGCAGCAGGGATGGTGTTCTACCTGGGCAATATTGGCTCTACGGTGGAGATCAGAGAGGTAATCAGGTGGGTAAATGGGATGGACACCACCTTCAGAGGTGCACTGACCCCACTATCTGGAAATGCAAGTCTCCCACAAATAATCTGGAGGGGAGGGGGTTCCTGCCGGCCCATCAAGGACAATTACAGTGTAGGCCTTGATCTGGACACCCACCGCTTAGGGTGGCCCTGGGCTTTTCATTCACGAGCATCCTGCTAGCCCTAGAAGCTGGCCTCTTGCCCAACTTGTCCAGCTCCTTAGAGACCTGTATGCACTTTCAGACATTTGCTCTCCTGGGGCTCATCCACCCTCCAAGCTCCCTCAGCCTTAACAGGAGAATCAGGGTTCACAATCAGATGCCAGGGCCTCACCAGGTACATCCTGCTAAACACACCTCAGTGCATCCTGAAGGTTTCTTACAGAACAGGACTCAACCCACTCAAAGTTCTTTTCCTCTCACCAGCAACAAGGGCTCTAAAACTGCCAATGAGGTAAAGCTGGCAAACAGAAAGGACTGTGACCCTTGGAGCTGGTGCTAACCCCTAAGAGGCTGTGTCAAATTCCCCTAAGGTAGCTGCTATGTAATCTGCTGCTTTCTAACAGGGATACCAGGCAGGAAGAAGGGGAGAGGGTCCTCCACAGCCCCTGCGCCTGGGCATCATGAGGACACATGACTGTCAATGTCAGCTCCCTCTAAGACAAATGGCAGAATGGTCAGTAGCTCCCCTTACACAAGTCCACAGCAGGTGTCTCTCCTGTCAGGACCTGGTGAGAAGGGACTTCTTTAAAGGCAAGACCCACTTCCTGCACTAAAGAGAAAATCCAGTTTTACTACGTAAGGAGGGCAGCCTAAAGCCAAATGGAAAACACACAGCTGACGATGAGGGTTAAACAGTGGAAGGACCGTCCTTTAATGAGCCCTGTACTGTACCCCAGAAGCCCCAAGACAGCAGTCTGCAGATCTTACAGCTCAGCCTCTTAGGGTGGGCAAGGAGGTAGAAAATTCAAAGGGAGGCAGGCTTCGAGCGCTAAGATGGAAACTCCAAGCTGCCTGTAGCTCATGTTCGGGCTACAGGTGGAGGATGGCAGGGGCTTTAAACTGGCACCGTAAGTAAAAGAGACCTAGAGAACATAAATAGTTAGCTGTTTCTTCCTGGCCCAAAGCCAAAAGGTAAACAAGCAATAAACACTTTGTTACTCCTTCCTAGACACATCCTGAGTTCTAGGCCTCACAAAGCAACTCTTAGTTCACCAAAAGGTTAAAACAATACTGAAGTTAATATTTCCTCCTTAGTTGGCCTAAAGGATGAAGGGCTGCTCTCACCCAAGGCCCATGCTACCCTGGGAGGAGGGGAACTCTGTGCTCATCAATAGCTACAAGGAACAGAGGCCCTGGGCACTCTGGTCTTCCTCCTGTCTCCAGGCTCTTTTAAATTATTGAAAGTGCAACCTGTTGTCCTCTCTCATCTTGTTCCCAACCCCTCAACCCTTTCACTCAGCTCACTTTCTCCCTCTAAACTCCACCCATCCTCAAGACCCCTTCAAGAATCTGTAAATCCTTTTATTGAGGAGACCAAGAGCCTTGGGGGGTTCTGGGCCCCTGGCTACATTTCCATGGAAGAAATGTTCCAGACACCAGGGAGGGAAACAATGGCCCATAGTGACATATCTAGAAATCGGCCACTCCAAGATCTGCACAGGTGGTCTGGATCTACCAAACAGCCAGATGGTGGTCACTGACCCAGTCTTGTAGGGTTGGCAGGGGACCTCACACACACAAAAAGCCAGCACCAAAAGCCCCAGGACCTTCAGGTCTCACTCCAGGCCCCAACTTGAGCTGTGTTTCACAAGCCCCAGGCAGCCCTCAGGGCTCAAGGCAGAGATGCCTGCACAAAGCTGTTTATCGCTGCACTGGCCATAGCAGCCAAGACACGGGCCAGCCTGGAAGCCCTTCACTGGAAGAATGGATACAGAAAATGGGCACATACGCACGGTGCAATTTCATTCAATGGTAAAGAATTTTATGACATCACAGGAAAACGGGTGGAACTGGATCTAATTAGATGAAATAAGCCAGACTCAAATAGTACATTTCCCCTCATACAAAGACTCATACAAAGACTGGAGAGATGGCTCAGAGGTTCAGATCACAGGCTGCTCTTGCAGAGGACTTGGGTTCAATTCCCAACACCCGCATGGTGGCTTACAACCACCCTAAATCCAGTTTCAGGGGATCTGACACCCTCTTCTGACCTCCTCAGGCATTGCAGGACACTGGGTGCACTTACATACATGCAGACAATACATGCATACACATCAAATAAAAATAAAAAAATTTTTTTGGTCTTTTTGAGACAGGGTCTCTCTGTAGCACCAGCTGGCCTGGCATTCACTATGTAGAATGGCCTGGCCTCAGTCTCACAGAGATCTGCCTGCTTCTGCGTGCACCACATCTGGGTCAATATATATATTTTTTAATGAATAAATGAGGTGGAGAGTGATACAGTAAGACGATCCATGTCCCTCTGACCTCTGCATGAGTGGGCTTGGGCATACTCACTGTAAACAGACACGTATGCACAGGCCATACAGACACCAGGACAAAAAAAAAAAAACATATACACAGGCCTAGGAAATGAGAGCAGAAAAGAGGGCAGCAGGGAGAGAGGTCTAGAGAGAACAGGTAGACGGGAATGAAAGAACGGCACAGAGGGAGGGAAGCAGGAGGGATAGGAGTGGAAGAAGGGACCAGAACCGAGGGCCGGAGGGCAATGGGGGAGGTGAGGACACTATAATACTATGCATGTATTAAAACAGCACTATGGGGCCAGGGAGATGGCTCAGCAGCTGGACCAGGTGCCAAGCCTGAGTTCAATCCACAGGACCCATACTGGTAGGAGAGAACCGACTCCCTCAAGTTGTCCTTTGACCTCCATGTGAACACAGTGGTATGACTGCTCCCCTCCAGCAGACAAATTGAAAAATTTTAAACTTTTTAAACTAACATTTTAAGTATACCAATGTCCAGGCATGCTGGCACACATCTTTAATCCCAGGATTTCACAGGCAGAGGCAGGTGGACCTCTGTGAGATGGAGGCCAGCCTGGTCTCCATAGTGAGTTCCAGGGCCAGCTAGGGCTACAGGGAGACTGTCTTTAAAAAAAAAAAAAAAAGAAGTACCAATTCACTGTGGTGCAACTTTAAACAGTGTTTAGTCATGGCATGGAGTCTGGATGTCACTTACAGCAGGGAGACTGGGGGTGCAGGGCAGGGTGCCCTTGGGGTGGGACGCATCCACCTCCCCTCACGGTCACCACTGGGTAAGTGGCAAGCTGGGGAAAGTGGACTAGGAGAGCTGGATGAAGTTTCCAGTGGGGAAGGCGGTAGGGGGAAGCTCTGGCCAGGTGCCTTATTTTGTTGTGTCCCCATGTCTTCTACACAGGTGGCAGACTGTTAAGTGAATGACAGTCTACCTAAAAAAGTAGAGTTCTTTTCTTAGCTGGTGTCCGGGCTCAGGGGGGCCAGAAGATGTGCTCCACAGAGGCAGGGTTCTGAGGAGCACCGGGTTTTCGAAGTGGCCCTGGGATGAAGTGGGGTGGCTATCAGCTTAAAAGGCCACTCAGCTTCCCTGTGGAAAAGGGAACACTGCCAGGAGAACTAGCACTGACAACTTGTCCCACCTTGCAGTGTTGCTTTTTTAAAGGACATGAGAAGCTAGAACATAGTTCAGCAGTGGAACACAGATGCGAGGCTCTGGGCTCAATGCCTGGTACCAAAAATTATTCCCGGAACAGAATACAGGGACGGGCTTAGGTGCTCGATAAAGGCAGAAGTCAGGAGGGCTGGTGCTTTGACACTGGGAGTGGCCACCCAAGGGGAGGGCAGAGTACCATTTCCTCTGGCCTCTCCAACTCTAGTACAGAGGTGACCAAGACATGCCCCAAGCAGATCCCCCAAAGCAGAACCTTGGGCCCAGGAGTGACAGTTTTACTGGATGTTAATGTGGGGTGCCTGGCAGGTGCCCAGAGACCCCAAATCAAATGCAAAGCTGAAGAGTGGAATGCAAACTGACAGACAAGCTACCAGAAGTCGAGTAGCTGGAGCACAGAGTCTTGGCACTCGGAAGGCAGAGGAAGGGTGCACTGGTCAACCAGGCCTATCTAATGATGTCTCAAAATACCAAAGTGGGGGAGTCAGGCAGCGGGGCTACCAGGGGAGTGCCTGTGCACCCTGCCCCGGCCTTCCAGCTCCAAGGAGTCACTGCATGGGAATCAGCCCCTGGCATCCCTTCAGGGCTCTGCCCCCTAAGCGAGCATCCCCCCACACTGTACTCTCATCCAGCACTCTATACAGTCTCCAGAGAAGTCCCTGCCCTTCTCGTCATTGCAGTGTTCCCTCAGAAGAACCAGAGCCATATGGCTCTGCTGGGCCAGTGGACCACAGCCCCAGCTCTGCCAAAGGTAGTCCTGAGATGCCATCCTGTCCTTTCCCAGAAAGGACACCGCACCCCTCCTCTCCTAGCTCCTAGAGATGTCAAAGGCCACAGAAGTGCAACGCTCAGATCATGGACCAACTAGGCAAGAGGGGGCAGCTGTTCTACTTGTGATAGCTTGTGACTCCAGACTTCCCACTGTGTGCACACTGGCACTGTGGTCCCTTCATGAGGTGCTACAGGCAGGACAAGTGCTCACTTCCCCTTACCTGCCCAGCTTTCAAGTGTAGGCTGGTTCCCTGTTCTCCAGGGTGAACAAATAGTCTTTCCCTTCCCAGTATCAGTGCAAATTGAAAAGACTGAAAGCTGGGCCTGGTGGTACAGACCTATAGTTCAAAAGTTCAAGGCCTGCCTGGATTACAAGTTGAAAGCCATCTTGGGTAACTTAGCAAGACTCTGCCTCAAAATAAGTGAAAACAGGGCTAGGAATGTAGTTTAGCCGGAGAGCACTTGCCTAGTAAGGTGCAAGACCAGGTTCAATCCCCAGCGCACACACACAAACCACCTGCTACACTCGCTCAGGCTGAAGCTGCCCATGAACCTCCTCAAAGCTTGAGGTCGTCCCTGGGCCTGGGTGGCCCCAACAGTGTCCCACCTGTCTTGTTCACTCTGTCCCAGACTCTCCATGGGTAGCTTTCCAAATGGTTATTTCTAGAGCAAAATCAGGAAATGCTCACTGTTTTTTTTCTGTTTTTCAGGATTTGTGTTTTGTTTTTTAAATAAAAGCTCATGGACCCACACTGGTAATGCCCATCACATTCCCAACCTTAAAGTTCTTATTTAGCTTTCTCCACATGACCACTGTACCTCCCTCTTCCAGGCTGAGATCCTGGCTCCCACCATGACATTTCTTGACGGAGTCAACACCCCAGCCCTTCACTGGCATCGCCCCATGCTACCATTTGGAGACAGTTACACTAACACTGGCCCTGTTAGTTAAGGGTCCTGAAATGCCCTAAGAAGTCCCTCTGGCTTTTCCTGTCCCCATCCCTTTTCGTAACTCTGCCACCACCGCTGGGTGTCTGGATGACCTATCGATCCTCGGTACGCAAAGTCAGCCCCTGCATCCACCCCTCTGGTCACAGGGTTACCCACGTACACAAGGGACTTACTGGACCCCTGGTTTGTTGGCAACCTTCAGATCCTTGGCTCACCTCCCTCACCCCGAGCACTGTCACCATCAGGAGGGCTGAAAGCTGCACTTGCTTTTCCTTACGTGCCTTTCATTCTTTTTGCCAAGAGGTTGGAAGAATTTTTTTTTTTTTTTTTTGCAACAGGAACAAACACAGGGCCTGAGGCACGCTAGGCAAGTGCTCTACCACTGAGCTACATCCTGGCCCTGAGGTCTTTACCCAGAACACATCCCTGGTGTCCATCTGTGCGGAACTGCTCACGTCTGTAACTCGCTCTTTCATCAATGGAGTTCCTAAACCTCATAGCTATTTTACTGAATTATTTTTTAAGATTTATTTTTACTTAGTTGTATATGCATGTGTACATGTATGCCATGTGCAGTCTGTGGGAGAGCAGAAGAGGCGAGGGCATTGGATCCCCTGGAGCTGGAGTTACGGGCAATTGTGAACCTCCTGACACGCTGGGAGCTGAATTGGGGTCCTCTGGAAGAGCGTAGGTGCTCTTAACCGCTGAGCCATCTCTCCAGCCCCTGGATTATGCTTCTACCATGTACTTACACCATTCCCTTGCTTTGGACTTCAGGGGCTAAGTCTAACTGCACAGTGGACCTTCTTTGCCTCGCTTCAATCTCTTTCGTTCTTTTTCATTTTACACGTGTCCTCCTTTGCACTTCTAAAGAACGTGTTGACTCACTGCATTCCTTCTAGTCTTCATCCCAATGGTTTGGGATCTGACTTTATGATCACATAGCTCCTCTGAGTGCTGTGTTCTCTCTCAGCGAGTCCTAGCATCCCCACCTCTGGGAGGGGGGGGAAGGTATTCCTGTGTGGAGGGCTGTCCTGTTCTTTAGTATGACAACCTTCTCAGGGACTAGCCACAGCATTTTTCTGCTGCTGTCCTGTGCCAGGAAGCAGGCAGTGCTCTCCCTCCTCCCTGTTCACAGTACAGTGACTGCTGTCCCTCCTCCCTGCTCACAGTGACAGTGGCCCAGCAGACTCTCCTAGGTGGTAGGTACCCTGCAGAGCTGTACCTAGTTGGTTCAAGAGCCCCAGGGCCCAGGCTGCTCCAGTCCTTTCTTTCCCAGTCCCTCTCTTCCACAGTTCTAGACACAACACCTCTTCCTTCAGCTGTGGGTGGCAGAGCAGGGCCCTCACCCCAATCACCCCAGCTTTCCGGTGAGCACACACAGCCCACCTCTTCTGCTTCCTCCCAGCCACCCCAATCCACCCAGGCTCAGAAAGCTTATCCCATCCCACCATTGGCTGCAGTTCTCACGCATACTGGAAGCCTGTCTGGGGCTTAAGTCTGGCTATGTACTGCCAGGTTCCTAGGTAAGGATCTGGGCACATTCAAGGGCCATGCTACGGCCTTCATGTGAGCTTCATGGCAAAATGAGTGCAATGCTCCTAAGGGAGGATGGGGGCGGGGGGGTGCGCCTCACCTAATCCAATGGGACTTCCGAGACAGCAGCTAAAATCTCTCTTCTCATCTGGTGGTTCTGCTTTTCCTTCTGAATATCCTGTAGCTGAGCCAGGGCCCGAGCCAGCCTCACTGACCCCACCAGGGAACTCCTAGCTGAGGCAATCAAGAGAAAAGGCACCCGAGACTGGGAAATTGCTCCAGTCCTGGGAGGGATCGATTCACCTCTGAACCCCATCCATGGGTAAGCTGTCTGGCCTCTCTTTCCACCAATACTCTTTGAAAAGCAAGGATGATCAATAGGTAGCCCGACCTTACAGGGCTCTGCGCAAAGCAAGATGACCCACCTAAGGAGGCCAGTGATGGCAAAGGGCGCTCTCACAGTGCCATTCCCAGTAAGAGTTTCAGCCTCAAAGGCTTCTCAGAAATAGCTAGGTGCAGGGAAAAGACTCAAACTTTGCACTGCTCTGAGTAAACCAATCTAACTCTCTTCTGGTTCTCTGAAATGCCTCTTACTTTCTCAGCACCCACTTGAGCAGAGCCAGGCACCTTGGCTTCTGCTGTCCATAGTCAGTGCTCTACTCAGGGCCACAGGTATTAGTGGTGAGTCACAGTGTGATAAACAGGCCAGCATTTAAACAGGACAGAAGACAGGAAAAATAGCAGAGGAAACATGGTTAGCTTTGTCACCTTGACACAAGCCAGAGTCACCTGGGAAGTCTCAGTGAGGGACTGTCTACTCTGGGTTGGCCTGTGGCCATGTCGATAGGGGACTGTCTTGAGTTAATTGATATGAGAAGACCTAGGCCCACTATGGGCAGCACCATTCCCTAGGTGGGGTCCTAAACAGTGTAGAGTCACATAGGTAGGCACAGGGAACACACAGACATGTACACATTTGCTCCTCTCTACTCGTTACTGAGGATGTGCCGTGCCTACATGCTTCACTGAACCTCCTGCCACCTTTGCTCCCCTGCTGTGACGCACTGGAACCTGGTTCTGTGAGCCAAATTAATTTTCTCCCAAGCTGATTTTTCTCAGGATGTTTTATTGCATCAACAGAAATGAAACTGTTGGGACAGTAAGCACATGCTTCGAGCAGTCAGGATTTGTGCCAAACTTTATTGTAGCCCCCTACCCCCACAAACGGACATGTGTGGCTGTGTCCATGTGTGCAGGTGGAGGTGACGAGACAAGTGACCTCAGGCCCTGACAGCAAAGTCTAAGGACACTGAAGCCATGTGTTGTATCGTTTATTAAAATGGAGGAAGCCAAGTCCTGGGGGACACCATCTGCCCCAGGTGACAGACACAGTATCCACTGTGTCTTCTCACAGGCCTTCTTGTCATCAGGCTGGTATCTCCACAGAGGGAGAGGGATAAGGGTCTCAGTGGGCCAGGGCAGGGTCTTAGCCAGTAAACCCAAGTACTACAGAGCCCACAGGAGAGTTTTATTCAACCCAAGTAATATTTTATTAAATGAAGAAAAACACGTGTTGCTAACACTTAAAAGGGATTTCACATCCAACCCACCCACCTTTCCCAAAATGTCATTGCACATCCCTGGATCCCCACCCAAGTCCTCACTCACATCTTTAGGATGCTGAGTTTGAGTGGCCACCCCTGGTGTGAAGAGCTGCCTTCCAGGCAGTCATGGGGCTCCAGGAACCAGAGCAGAGTGTAGGGAACAAGGGGGAGGGTTGCTCAACAACGGCAGGGCTGGTGACGGGACGAGGTAAGACACAAGGCGGCCCCCAAGGCTCCAGATGGTCCCGTTAATAGGACACTTGGTGACCTCAACAGCAGCCTCTCATTCGAACCCTGGGGGGCTACGGCTCTGGGAGAGTGGGGGGCAGGAGTCCAGGTACCCCAGAGCCACAGGAAGATGTTCCTCTGCCTGATGGGAAGGCAGTGGGGTTGGCTGAGGAACCACCAAGGCCACCTCACCTGGGTTCTCATGACTGGCCATCTGCTGGTCCTCAGAATCCAGCGGCCCCGGAGACCAAGCCTCTTCCCGCAGCTCCATGTCTGGGTACCTGTTGGAAGGGAAAGGACAGGACAGAGTTTACAGGATGTCGAAGAGGTCAGAACTCTCAAAGGCAGGCACAGCCACCCAGCAAGACAGGAGCTTGCAGCACGCACCCAGAGAACAGCGGTGTGAGCTGTGATAACCAGGCACCTCAACCCAGAGATAGGACCCAGGAGTAACTCCATCTCCGCGACTCAGTTTCCTCATGGGCAGGATAGAGAACACAAGTGCATGGGTTTCAGCAGGACAACGCATATTTGACACTTGGAGGACATCCACATCCACATGCCTCTAGCATGGTGGTAACTGCCCATCACAACAGTGGCTGCAGCAGCCAAATGAAGTGTTCTGGCTTCCAAAGCAGCCTAGCCTGAGACCTGTGCATCGCGTCATCCACCTGCCCTATTTTCTCCTTTAAAACAGTCCAGGGAGTAAAGGCTCAATGGGTAAAGGCACTTGCCACCAGGCCTGATGACTTGAGTTTGATTCCTGAGACCCACTTGGTGGAGAGACCTGACTACCGCCAAGTTGTCCTCTGACCTCCACACGTGTTCTGTGGCACACACAAAATAAATGAATGTAATCTTTAAAAGGCATATGAATGAATGAATGAATGAATGAAGTAAATAAGTAAAACTTGAGTCAAGCCAGATGTGGTAGGTCAGGCTCCTGACGCCTGCCCAGCAAGGCACATCTGCCCATAAAGGCACAGAAAAAAGAAAGTGTCTGGCCCTAGAAGTGCATTCACACTCAAATGGATGGCCAGACAGCCCTGCTGTCCACTGGGGAAATCCAGCTGAGCACACAGGATCACAGTATGGCAGGGCAACCAGCTCCAGGTGCTGGGGCTCCATGAGGGGAGGAGGCAGTGACCACCTCTATACCACGTAGGAGCAACATGAAGAAAGTCCAAAGTGGAAAGCCTGCACTGCTGCAGGCTCTGTGTGCTGGCTGGCTGCCTAAACATGCACAGCAACTGCAGACAGCAGTGCTGGCCCAAGCCTGCTCCACAGGGCGACTCCAGGACGTCGGCCTGCCAGGAGGAGGCCTGGGCAGGTCCAGTCCTCAGAAGCCACACATCCTCCACCAGCCCAGCCACATGGGCCCCCTCAGCAGTCTCTCCAAGTTTCTGAGCAAGTGATGACAGCTTCCCTACTAAGACTCTGCATTTGAGGTGAGAGTCACCTCCTCAGAGGCCCTGTCGTCCCCATCTGGCAGCCTCTCTCCTCCTCAACCCCAGTGTTTCTCCATGTTGTACCAAGGTGGTCTGTCCCCACACCCCCATCCCTACACCAGCACCACCTGTAGGAACCCCAGCACCCACAGCAATACCAGGCACTCACTCCCAAGTGCTCCCAGGGAACATCACTCCCAAGTGCTCCCAGGGAACATCACTCCCAAGTGCTCCCAGGGAACAGCGGTTAGAGTAGAACTGGGCCACGCAGAGGCTTCAGAGAAGACAACACTTGGTAAATTCCAGCACTCGGTCCCTCCCCAGACCTGGCTCAGAAGGGAGAACCGTAGAGGACAGGATGGACAAACAGACCCAGGCGAGCCCAAGTTGCTGGAGCTGGGTCTGAACAGCTTCCCTGACCGTGTGGGTGTGGCCACGAGGCCCAAGAGCTGCAAACAGAAGCTTGTGGCACTCCCAGGTGACAACCTCTCTAGAAGCCCGTGGAAGGAAAACCCAAGGGTAGGAAAGCTGGAAGGACTCCTCAGCCAATCACAAAAGCCTGCTCCACAGTGCATGGGGCCTGTGTGCACTGCTGCGAGCAGGTGTGTGTAGAAGCAGGCAGTCATGGGTCACAGTGGTGTGACACCACCATCAGGGGCCTCCTGCTCTGAGAGATGAGTCTAATTCTCTCCCAGACTCATCTTCCCTCATTTGACAACCCTGAGGACTAGGCATCCAAACAGGCAAGTGGCTGGGTGTGAAGAAGGCAAAAGCTGGCAAAGCTGGCAGAAGCCCACCCAGAACCCAGTGCTTGGCAAGGGGCATCTAGAACCCAGGTCTCTAGGATGGCGGATACCTCCCCTTTCTTCCTGAAAGCTGAGGAGAGCTCCCACATGGAATGAACCCTCCCTGTGCCAGGGGAGTAAATCATCCTATCAGAGACAGAGCCAAGGCCGTGGGACTTCTGCACAAACCTCCCACATCTACCCCAGCCGGCCTCAGCCTCCCCATCCACACCCCACAATCACAACTCCAGTCACCAACACAGGAGCACCCAGCCCCAACCACTCTAGAGGTCTTGCTTTCACGTGATGCACTCCCCACATATATGCAAGGCCCTGAACTTTTCTCCTAATCTGCCTTATGTCAGCTTATCTCTCAAGTCCAGTGGAAGACTGTAAGAGGAAGAAAGTTCTGTTTCCCCTAGGCAGGACAGAGCACTGCAGGTCTGCAGGGGGCTGTAGATGGCGTATGGTGAACATCAAGACCCCAAAGGAAGATAGGTATGGTGGCGCACAACCTGTAGTGCCAGCACTTGGGAGGTACAGGCAGGACCAGAGTGTCAGGCCACCCTCAGCTACATAATGCATTCAAGGCCAGCCTGAGTTACATGAGACCCTGATTCAAAACAATTCAAACAAGCAAGCAAACCACTCTAAAAGGAGCCCCCAAGTACACTGGGGAAAGTGTCCAGTGGCACAGCTGCTTGGAAAAACAATCTACCAGTTCCTCAAAGGGCAAGCACATGTAACATGTGACCTTGTAGTCCCACTCCTGGCACACACCCTGGACTAGAAAACTCCCACACAAAAGCATGCATGCAGCATTACCTGTGACAGCCAAAAAGCAGAAACAAGTCAAATGCTAGGGAAACAAGGGCTAAGTGCACGATTCTGTGTGTGTATGAACTACCCAAAGTCAGGGAGCCCAAGGCCACATGGTATACAATTCCCTGTACGTGAACTGTCCAAGGTCACTAAGCCCAAGGCCACATGGTATACAATTCCCTGTACGTGACCTGTCCAAGGTCACTAAGCCCAGGGCCACATGGTAGAAAGTTCCAACACACATGAACTGCCTGAGGCCACATGGCACAGGATTCCATGTGTATGAACCATCTAGACAAAGACCACAGACAAGAAGCAGACTTGTAGTTGCCTTAGCTGGGGTAGGGGTAGAAGTGACCACCTAAGAGGAATGAGATTTTGTGGAGGGAGATGAAGATGCTCAGGAATGAGGCACAATGATGGTTATGTAACTCTGAGAATGTATTAGAAACCACCCAACTGTGTAGTTTTTTTATTTTTTAAATATTTTATTTTTATTTTATGTGTACGAGTATATTGCCTGCATGTGTCTAAGTGCACCCATGTGCAATGCCCACAAAGGTCAGAGGGTGTTGGATACCCTGGAACTGGGGTTACAGATGCTGGGTGCTGGGAATCAAACCCAGATCCTCTGCAAGAGCAGCCAGTGCTCTTATCCATTGAGCCATCTCTTCAGCCCCGATATTTATTTTTATTGTATGTGTATGAGTGGTTTACCTGCATGTATATAAGTGCACCTGTGTCATGCAATGCCTGAGGAGGCCAGAAGTGGGCACTGAATCCCCTGAACTTGGGTCCTCTGGAAAAGTAGTCAGTGCTCCTAACTATTGCGCCATCTCTCCAGTCCCTAAAAAAACAGATTTTACTGGGCATGGTGGCACACACCTTTAATCCCATTATTTGGGAGGCAGAGGCAGACAGATCTCTGTGAGTTTGAGGCCAGTCTGGTCTACATGGTTAAGATCCAGGCCAGCCAGAGCTACAGTGACACCCTGTCTAGTGGGGGAGGCGGGAGGCAGCAAATTTTCAGTACACAAATCTCAATACAAAGTAAACTTCTGAAATGTGTACAGGCCTGCTGGTTACAGCACTATCAACATTAAAAGTGCCTAAGGAAAACGCAGGATGTGAACTGCAGGGCTCTGCTCAGGCACTGCCAGGGGTCAAGGAGGTGGGAAGGGAGCGGCTGTCCTTTACCTCCTTTCCCATGCTGAAACTCGTCTGCCAAATGTGATAATGTGTTCTCGCTAAAACAATAAACTCAGACCTCAAGAAGCAAGGGGACTTTCCAACTCAGAGTCCTCCCTGGCTTCCAGCTCAGGCCTGGCTTCCTCCAGGGAGGAAGAGGGTGTGGGTTGAGGGGAGGCAGGGCAAGCCTGCCTTTCATTCACCTCGCCCCTGGGATGCCTGGGGTAGTCAGAGGAACACAGCCTCTACACCTCCTGCAAGCCAGGCAGCCTTGGTGTTCAGCCCAGGCAGCCTTGCTGTTGAGGCAAAGTGGCAGGGTGAGGCAGGGATGCTGGCCTGTGATGGCTGTCAGAGGTTCACTGTCCTGACAAATTCCTCTTACTGGCACTGACATTAAATGGTCACATTTTAAATGTTCTCTAATCACCTATACAAATGGAGTTTCGGTTTGCCCGGTGGTCCACAGAGCCCAAGTTATTTACTGTCTGGCCAATTATAGGAAAAGCTTGGTTGTAAAAGAGCAAGGGATGCAAAATTCAGGGCAGCTTTCCAAGCCGAAGACGGAGAGCCAGGAGCGCCACCAGGTGTGGGTACAGCCAGCAGGAGGTGGCCTGGCATGCTGTCCACAATAGCTGACGGTTTTGTCTGGGAAGCCAAGTTCAATCACACGCACGCGCACTCACACAGCACACACACACATGCACACACAGTGCCCTAGGTGATCTTAAAAACCTCAGAAGTAAGGGAAAGTGATCTGTTCCTTCTGCCTTTTGGCACAGCCCTGAATCTCTGCTCTGCCTGGGAACCCTGCAGGCAGGCTGGGGAAGGCAGGGTTGGAGGGGTGGCAGGCCTGACAGGAGCCTGGATCTAACTGTGGGGTAGACACAGGTGTCTGCCAAGCCTCACAGGCACCCCTCGTGTGGCTTCTCCGGGCAGCGGGGCTGCAGCACTGCCTGCGTGGCTGCCGAGCACAGGATATGCAGCTCTGCAGGCCCAATTCCTGGGCAGAGCCTGGGGAGATGGCCCGGTGGATCGAAA